AAGGGATTGAAAGGATGCCGAGGATGTGTTGCGACGGAGTCTCCATCGAACGGGAAGGGATGGTCGTGATGAGAGGCACCTCTCAGAGCGTCCTGATTTCGTTGGGTCTAATTTGGGAGTTAGTATTTTCTGTGTAGACAATGATGTGAGGAGAAAATGAGGAAATGACTGCTATTCCACTGCTGAATATCCATACCTTCTCCTTCATTGCGGCGACTTTGTTTTATTTATCGAGAATAGTTAAAACGACTGCTGTTCCTGAGAGTAGTGGATAAGCCAGCTCTATGGCATACGACAGCATGATATATACATAAAACCAGCTCCACCGCCTGTCTACCAAATGGACGGTGGAGATCCTTGCTCCAACAACTGGGGCAATCGAATATGTCCATGTATGCTTCCATTTGGCACGATCGCAAACACTTAGTTGTGGAAGCTCCACGTAGAATTTCTAGAAAGCATTCCCGGGCATGTATATGGGTGTTGTCGGCATACCAACATATTCTTCAAGGCCCAGGAATACTTCCAGTCGCTTCATCCCCTTCTCGTTCTTTCAGCAACAATTTAACGCGGTATTCCGTCACCCATCCAAGTTCGTCCTCTATCCCTCTGAGCAGCTACAAAACAACCAAGAGATGAGTTCTTGAGGTTCGGTAAGACACTGGCCAGCCACGAACAAAGGTGGTACGAAATAGATCCGCACAGAAGCATCCGGTCGAGACATAGAAAGTCCACAAATTTCCAGCGAACGGAGTTTGTTTCACCTTCGATGGACCAAAAGAATTTATCTTAGTTGCCACATGCCATTTTGGCGGCGGATTCCGGAGGCTTATTAACCAGCAAGAGTATTCGCACTATGTGGTAATGCTGCATTGTTGATACGCACTATGACAGGCTGTGCCACACACGTCTAGCCAAGGTAAAGGCTCTTCATTCGGATGTGGAAGGAGTGCATGAGCACGCTCCATCCATACGCATGGTGTTCGTCTAGCCAGAACTTCCAGCACTTATCTATAAAGCAAAACGTCAAGGGGAAAATGAAGGATTATTCCCTGGAATGGGAGATATCATTAATACTATGTAGAACATGAGATAGGAAAAGCAAGAAGAGGAAATAAATCCTGTCATCCAGGTGAATATATGACTGTTCTGTGGCTAGAAGAATATTCGACACGGGAGAGGAGACAAAGCTAATATGCTACGGGTCTACCTTGCTGCTGAGGTACTAAGGACATAGGTAATGTCCGATGGATATGACGATGTAAAGGAAGAGAGAAATCGTACGGAATGCTCACAAAAGAGAGAGATGACAAATGAGAAAGAAAAGAGACAAGAATAAAGAGAGCGAAAAAGCAAACGCCAAGCTTTAAAATCTGCTCGAAAGGGTATTTTCCTTCCCGCCCAGACGCCATGATATAATTGGAAAAAAAAAAAAAAAAAAAGAAGAAAAAAACGAAGATGTGGAAAGATAAAAAAATATTTCCAAACACGTACGAAGCTGGGGCATAGCGCTCACATGACTGGCGCCCCTGATGCCCGTTGTCTCAGAGAATCCAAGAGATGTTCAGGAG